TAGCGCGAAGCTCGTTGCACCTTCGTTTTCTCCAATAACTTGCGTACGTGCGAACGCGGACGCACAGTTACTGGCCTCCGTTACGCCCCTTTTTATGGGCTACGCATGCGCACTACAGCGCTTCTCATGAATAATCAGTATTTCAGGAAGGGTCACGAGGTCACTGGGCACCGTCGCGTTGCAGCCCGCCCCGAGGAAATTAGTACACGCCTCTTTCGCGATGTGCATGCGCAGTAGGCGTTTGCGTCACGTGCTTTGACTTTCGACGATGACATAATTCAATACGAAAGGGTGCGGTTATTACCATCACAAGCGCATTGCGGGAGTGTAAATTGCCTGCGTATATGTGCTTATGCGCGCACAGTGCGAAAAGCTCACGTGATGGCGCAAAATCTTTGTATATACGTACGTACAGTGAGTGAGTATGTACTTACATGCACTGCGTGATGTGTCTGGTTATGTGCGCGCAGAGCAAGGGCGTGGCTTTGGTATGTCTTGTATGTGATGTTTGTGACTTGAGCGTTTTTGGGCTCTGTATGATTCTTGTCCTGCGTGAGTTTAGAGACAGATGTACAGTGTACGGTAGTTACACACCCTGCCCGTTTGCGTGGTAACGAGTTTTTATAAAACGCCCGTGACAGCCGCGGAGGCACTGGAATAGTGTCCGAATAGTGTATATAGATTGGGCATTGATCCTGTGTGTCACTGGTAATCTTGGGATGTGACCGCCTTATCAGGAGAAACGCAGTCTCTCAGGTACTTGGTCCAGGCGTTGTGTTCTGTATGCTGCTCATGGGCAGGCTAACGCTGGACGGCGCGAACATGCGTACAGGTAAACCCCGTACCCCCGCCATTGTCCGCACTCCCAGGCGCACTGCTGAGCCATTTCTACTATCGGGTGCCGCCAAGTTCAAAGTTCATGTTTGAATGGCCCGCCCGGGCATGACATGTATACAGACAAGTTAAAAAACATGTAGGAAGCATAACACATGACTGAAGAAGGTGGGGTCCATGGTAGTCAAAGAGTCAAGTAGAGTGCACCAGGAGTTGTCTCTCTAACTCTGATTCGCACACATCCAAATTTATACCATGGTTAGCAAGACGGTTCATGGCGACAATTACGAGAAACAAACCACTGTACGCATGCGCATAAGAGCTTCCCCTGAACTAAGCATGCGCAAGAAGGTATATATATGGCTAGAGCTCCCTTGACCACAGGACAGTAAGGAGTAAGGCCACAAGCGTAGGGAGGGAATGCGATGTTGTAGAACAATATATCACAGCGAGCCCAAGAGAGTGTGTTGACATGTGTTGTGAATGTGGCATGACTCGTCTTCCAACCTACGATCATTCTGCAACATGTGTGAAAGAGGAGAGAGAGGGAGTAATAAGATGAGGAAGAGAAGGAGAGGGTGATGTCAGATTTGCTACTGTAGGCGTAAAGTGGTTAAGCAGAAGAGTAGCGAAGGCGAACGAGGAAAAGAAGGTAGAGCGGGTAGATGACAGGAAGGGCTAGCAACGGGGGTAGAGAAAAAAGAAAGCAAGAAGGGAGAGGGGAAAGAGAGAGAGGAACGAGGCAAAGAAGTCAAGAAGAAAAGAGAGGCAGGGAGGAAAGAGGAAGGCAAAAAGGAGAAGGAGAATGGAGGAAGGAGGAGGGAGAAGGAAAGGAGGTGAGACGTAAAGAGCTTCCCCTTCTTTCTGCCCCCTTTATCCCTTTCTGGGCGCCTTCTCTCTTCATTGCCGGCACAGAGGCTACAGTGTTATGTAACATATGTCCAGTCATCGTGTCAAGCGCTTATAAAACAACTCCCCTCCTCTCTTTCTTTCTCAGTCACTGGAGCAGGGCAGTGATGGAATCACTCGCAGAACATGTTTGTAACCTCCTGATGTTTGTGATGCACAGAGGTAGGGTCCTCTACTCTCTACCCTTCTCTTCCTCTCTTTTCTCTCACTTACCACAAACATACTGGTTTGGTCCTCCCCATAAGATATTTTTTGTATATACACATTATGCACATGATGTAAGGCTATATACATGTGCATGTGTGAATACGTGGTACAAAGAGTATGTAAGTGTAGAGTGTGCTGCCATGTTCTTAGAACAAACAATGCTCAATCAACTGGTACAGTGGGATATATGTAGGCACAAAATAATATATACACATTATAGAGTGTTGGAAACCAGCTAGAGCTAGAGTTCACTTGACCACGGGACAGCAAGCCACAGGCCTAAGGGGGGAATGCCGGTAGTTTATTCACAGTGAGCCCAATATGTGTATGGCTGGTGTTGTAAATGTGGCGTGACTCGTCTTCCAACTAATGACCATTCTTTGCATGTGTGGAAGAGAGAGAGGGAATAGAGGGAGAGGGTAATGTCAGTTTGGCTTCAGTCTTTTCTACATGTGCAGTCAGTGTTTCATGAGCTATAACATCTCCCCTCCTCTCTCTTTCTAAGTTGCTGGAGCAGGACAGTGATGGAATCACTTACGGAACGCGGCTTGAAACCCCCTGATCATGTGGTGCTAGACGATCATAGAAATAAGGGTCTCTGTCCTCTATCCCTTCTCTTATCTTCCACACTGACTGTGTTGGTTAGTTATTGTTGTAGATACATACTATTGTATGCAAATAATATAAGGCAAACAGCACAGCTATACTCAGGTGAATTCAATGAAAAAAGAGCTTCCCTGGGTGTGATTCCAAACTACAACACTCTGCAGTCCAGGCAGAGAGCTTTACCCTTTGTGAAAGTCATTACTATTAGTATTTGTGATACTCTCTTGCCAAGGGGAGGGGAGTGGGAGGGAGAGCATTGCTAGCCGAAGGGAGGGGAGGGGGTGGGAGAGCATTGCTAGCCGAAGGGGAGGGGGAGGGGAGGGGAGGGAGGGGAGCATTGCTAGCCGAAGGGAGGGGAGGGGGTGGGGAGAGCATTGCTAGCCGAAGGGAGGGGAGGGGAGGGGGAACGCGGAGGGGAGGGGAGTGGGTTGGAGCATTGCTAGCCAAGGGGAGGGGAGTGGGTGGGAGAGCATTGCTGGCCGAAGGGGGGAGGGGAGTGGGTGGGAGAGCATTGCTAGCCGGGAGGAAGGGAGTAGGTTGGGGCATTGCTGGGAAGGGAGTGGATTGGAGCATTGCTAGCCTATCTTTGCGTACTCTCTCCTTCCTCATTTCCCCCCTTCTTTCTCTTCTACCGATGCTGAAAGAGGCAAAACTTGTTAGGTTTTGCAGGATTGCTACAGGTGAGCTACAAAATATCATAATACATATAAGAGCCTGCGGATGTGGCTATCGTATACACATGTCTTTCTACACACTCTGTGCAGGTCACCATCGCAGTCAGTGGTGTGGATGTGTACGTACACACATGGCAGACATTACGACAAGAATGACATTATTTTCTACTGTAATTGGTGAGTGACACATATAGATCAGAGACACACTATGAGTGTGACATCACGATGGCTGCCAAGTTTTTGTTTGATACACGTCCATACTATTAGTATGCGCATACAGTGTGTACCAGGCTCTTTTCCCATCCCACAAAGAGCCTACGGACATGGCTATCGTATGCACATGTCTTTCTACACACTCTGGTCACCATCAGAGTCAGTGGTGTAGATGTGTACTTACACACATTGCTCGTTGCACCTTAGTTTCTCCCAATAACTGGCGTACGTGCGAACGCAGACGCACAGTTACTGCCCTCCGTTACGCCCCTTTTTCTGGGCTACGCATGTGCACTACAGCGCTTCTCATGAATTTCAGTATTTCAGGAAGGGTCATTAGGTCACTGGTCACGTCGTTGCAGCCCGCCATTTTTGCCCCTGGAAATTTAGTGTACCACGCCTCTTTCGCGATTGTGCATGCGCAGTTGGCGTTTGCGTCACGTGCCTAGACTTTCCTTGCTGGTGAGTTTAGAGACAGATGTACAGTGTGCAATGGACTGATGGCTTTGATGATCTCGAAATCAGATTGGCATAATTTTAGACCCATTTCATGGAGCGAACTGTTGAAGGCCCACATTTGATCTTTGCCTACTGGTCTAGCACCGTTGCATTGGACCGGGGCAGACCGCTCGTTGTCAATGTACCTGTGAGTATCTCTAAAGGTGCGTACGGTTTTCGGAGAGTTGCTCGGCGTCGCTCACGTTCTCCAGTAGTTTCAGACATGTCTCGAGGAACTCTGAGTGGTTCCTATGCCTTCTCCTGAGCTTCACGAGCATGTCCACAGGGCTCGACACGAGCCCCCTGTCCCACGGGTCGAACTCTGACTTTCCCAGGATCTCGTCCATCTGAGTTTTCGTTATACCCCTGGCTAGTGTAGCCACTAACCTCTTTACAGGACCCAGCTTCATGGCGATCGGCTTCTTGCAGTTTGAAGGGAAAGCCCCCGGGATTTTGTTGTCTCTCGCCTCAATAATAATGTTCTCCGAGTACCTGAATGCCCACGCGCAAAATCATTCAAATGTACATACAGAGTATTTGTACATACAGAGTAGCTTAGGAATCCAGCAATTATAATAGTACTCGGCAATTATGTATGTTGTGTATGTACCTAGTCAGTTATATAGCTACTTGTTGCAGGAATTTGTAAGCTTGATTAGCTCCCTCGGCTATTTCTCTCAGCCTTTTTGCACCGTCACGAGCACAGTCAGCAATAGCAAACTTGTCGGTTTCCTCCAAGCACTCTCCAATCGTCTCCATGAAGCTTCGCATGTAATAAACCGTGTTGAAGAAGGAGTCCCAGGTGAGGGAGTGATTTCGCCTTTTCGAGATCCTGCCGATTATTTGTTTCAAGTTCCTTTTGAAACTCGAGCTCGAAAGCTTGCCGAAAAGGATCAGTTTTTGCTCTGCTTAATGCATAAGCGTATCATTGAAGGGAGACGATGATCGTCGATAGCCATATCACTGAGATTGAGGTGTACATCAGAGTCGTACTCGCTAGGAGAAGGCACTGTAAACTCTCCGGCACGGAGAAACCCAAAAAAACCTGTACACGCCGCTGCCCAACGGTAAGGGCCCTATCAATGTAGATTGTACCCCTCCACGACACTGCCAGCAGTCCCTGGTCCGACGGATGCACAGGTACGGCCCGATAGGCCTCCCGCAGGTCAAGCTTCGCCAGTAGGCATCCCTTTCCCAGCGTATGAATTAGCTCGGCTGCCGTGTCTACGGATGTATAGCAGACAGAACAGAGCTCCCGAGATATTGCATCGTTAACGCTGTTCCCTTCTGGGGACGATAAGTCTGTTATCAAGCGCCATTTGTCGGGCTTATACCTCTTCGGAATCACTCCGAATGGACTAATCTGTATTGAAGGGGGGACCAGATCGGGACTAGGTTGGAGAGGTAGCATTCTACCCAGATCTACTTCTCGCTGCAGATATGCTGATACCACTTCGGGATGCTCGTATGCCGATTTTAGGTTCCGGTTTTGGTTCACCCCAATGCGAAAGCCCTGGGTAATACCTCGGATGATGTATTGAGCCAGCGGCCTGTCTGGGAAGGCGTCCAGGGAAGACTGCCAGACTGGCAGCTTCAGCGGGGTAGCAAGTGAGCTGTCATGTGGCACCAGTGATCTCGGGGGTGATACCACTTCCAGGTCTAGCAGGTCTTGGGTAAATTTATAGAGACCCCGAGAAAAGTTAAATATGGGGTGGTCCGGTGGCTCTACACGAAGGTGGGAGAGAGGGGTAGGAGTATCACGTTATGGACTGGGTATGCTTAGGTAAGAAACCCCCCCTTTATTATCGCTTTCGTGTGCCTGTAGGCATTTTGTGTTTACTTTACTACGTTAGTAACACCAATAATTGAGTGGGTAATGGCAGCGATATGATAGATCAGAGTTAGTTTGTCGTTCCCTAGGCCTACACCCGCCTTGGTTGTCCCATCGGGTGCTGCGGGGGGGGTGGGAGACTCTCCTTTGCACGCCGACCGTTGATGTGGACCGTAGCAGTTGGAACAGACATGAGCAAAGGTACAGTTTCCCGGAAAAGCGCAAGCTCCCTTGTTCCAGGAGTGGCATACAGGTCTCTGGCGGCCATATGGGGATGGCCGTTTTCCTTTCTTTGCCGGACGGTCTGGGCCCATGCCCATTAGCGGAGTAAGTTCCATAGGGGGAGGGATAGGCTTTGGGAGGATAGCACCTACGGCACATTGGGCAGTTGTATGGTCTACCTCCTGGCAGTGCTGGCATGGGGTGACAATCTTATCCTGTTGATTGGCAACATACACTTGATGTAGGGAGGCATCTATGTAGTTCCAGGGGGTAGAGGTGCCCTGGTGATTCCGGCGGAAGACTGCGTCGTATGTCAACCACCCGGCCCCCCCAAACTTGTTCGCCTCCCTCACCACCAGACGCATATAAGCGAGCATGTCCGCCACCCTCTCCGGGTGTGCCCCCGCCACAATTGCTACATAGGTTGTGAAGGAAGACACCCACGTCATAAGTGCCCGTTCGCCGCCTATCTCTCGCTGACCCAGTTGTTTCTGTTGGATAATACCAGACGGCAAGGCGGCCATCCTCTCTGCCAGCGCAATGTTGTCTGGGAGTAACTCCCGCATCTCGACGTACTCCAATGCTTGTATTTTCTTTACTAGCTTGCCCGGGATCGGAATGCTGCTAGCCACCCTGAAGGGAGTGGGATTGGGGACCTTTTGCGGTGAGCCCACGGCGGGAGTTTCTTTCGCAGCCGAGATGAGCGGTGTCACCGATGTTGTTGTAGTGCTTGCTGCAGATGCGCTGGCCGCCGAGAACAGAGGGAGGCTCTCCAGGGAAAGAGGTAATGAAGATGGGGATGAAGAGACCGCAGCGGTTGAGGGGAGAACCATTACTCCTGGGGAATGACAGACATTTTGAGGACCCCCTTTCCTCACGTTATGGGAGACCGACGGTATTGCCGAGGGACTGTCGGTACAATAGTTCCCCCACGCGTGCGCAGACAGGGCCGTATAATTTAAATAGTCATAATGGCCCCCCCCCAGCAACACTAACCTGAACTTGTGTGAGACTCCGCACAGATGCCTCTGTTAACGATCGGGACTCGATGCCCGTGGAGGGGCCCCCGCCCGTGGTTGGGTCCGCGTCGTCCATAGAAAAGAAAATGAGGCTCACGCTGGCCTCGCACAACTGAGGAACACGCTGTCCTTGCCGCCCCGCCACCTGCCGGCGACAGTAACTCAGCACTGGGAACTGCCTGCGTGCTGCTGTTGCTTCCCAGTTTGCACATGGTTGCGGTATGCACATGCGCAGTTGCGAGCCGTTGAGGAGGCGCCACCGTGGGCAGAGGTGGGGCACCCCACCTCCCCCAGCCTAGCAACGGTATGTCCCCCCCATTAACTTCGTCTAATTTTCATTAAACGCCATATAAAGAATTATATTTGTGGTTACCCCAGCAATTACAGCATACTTATGCTCATATCCAACTTGCGTTGGTGTACATTCAAGCTAAACTAACCATAGGAGCTGGTGGCTGTTGGTCTTCCGCCTGACGGTGGTCCTGTCGGTCTTCCGCCTGACGGTGCTCCTGTCGGTCTTCCGCCTGACGGTGCTCCTATCGGTCTTCCGCCTGACGGTGGTCCTGTCGGTCTTCCGCCTGACGGTGGTCCTGTCGGTCATCCGCCTGATGGTGGTCCTGTCGGTCTTCCGCCTGACGGTGCTCCTATCGGTCTTCCGCCTGATGGTGGTCCTGTCGGTCTTCCGCCTGATGGTGGTCCTGTCGGTCTTCCGCCTGACGCGTGTTCCTGCATGAGATGGTCCTGTCAGTCTTCCGCCTGACGGTATTGTCCTGGACGACATTCGTCGCTGTCGCAGAACGTATCCGTCCACAATTCCACAGGACACGGACTAAGACTCGTCGGAACGAGACGAGTAACTGCACTCCTGACGCTTGTGAATCACACTGCCTCAAACGGAATCGGACACAGTCAACACACTGATGATTCAGGTGCTGGTTGATCACGCTGGGGGCAGTGCAATATTGAATGAAGCCCAGAATACAAACCTAACTCACTGTTTGTTTTACAAAGCCAGGACTCAGGTATGACCTTACACAACACAACTTTCACTGGCCTGTCTTACATTCGCATCAGCAATTCCAGTTCGAATGGTCTTCATTTGCATGACGCAAGGCACACCGATATCTATTTCATGACTGTGAATAACAGTGGAGAAAGTGGGATGCGCAGTGCACCGAGGGTTTGCACTTTGTGCTTTTAATTTCAAAAAGCTACACATTTAGGGGCCGAAGGTGTCATAGTTACAAATACGTCAAATTATATAGTGCTGCATACACATACGTAATTAGTTGTTGCTTTCTGCTGTAGCCATAGCCAAGAGACACCTGGCCAGGTCACTGATCAGAGAGAAAGCACAGCTAGCCAGAGCTGCTTCATACGCCGTGAACGACAAAGACGTCAAGTCTCCCTCGGTAACTGAATCAAGCTATCTGATTGGTCCAGAGGATGGGGCGAGGTCACATGACACTGGTCTGGACAGCTCATCTAGTCTTGTCTCCATTGGCCGTTGCCTCTTTTGGTTCGACACCCACCCCCTCCCTCTCTATCGGTCTATCCTTCGCCCTCTGCCCCGTCTAGTAACATCTCCAGTCGAGAATCAACACCTTCGCTGCGAATATCACCTGACCTGGAGCTCGGAGAGTTGGTGTAGAACGCATACATAAAGAAATTCATACACTAAAGGATACATGCAGTCAGATTCTTTAGAAGATAAGTACCAAGCACAGGACAGCCAGGAGTAGAGTGCTGAGGAGTCTGAAGTGGTGACAACATCACGTGGCGCCCTACGGATTTCTTCCTCGTCGGTACGTGAAGAAAAAGATGGACAACGTACATAGTTACAGCCATTAGTAATACAGCGACTTATTTATACAGTTCAGGGTCTGGGTGGGAGCTGTGTTCTTGAACCACAGTGTTGTAGAACTGGTGTCCAACAATCTGTGATGACTGTGCCCTGGTCTCTGTTTGCTAGTGTTTGTGGGTTTGCCAACATGATAGTGTCAAACCCCTCGACAGAAGCAGTGTTGCCCGCTCTAGATCTCGTAATCGTCACTGAAAAAAGACGAGCCTCTCGGTGGTGAGGACTTTCGACGGCCGAGCGTTCTGTCTGTGTACCTCTTTGAACTTGAACATTGAAGTCATTTTCTACAACTCTAGCTGTTATGCTTCGAACTAAGGGACATGGTGGGTTATCATTGATATCTTGAACAGTGATATAAACCCGAGTATCTGAGCTACGCCCACCAGCATCTACTGCTTGGATCAGGAAATCTGCTCCTCCTGCCCTGCTTCGAAATCAACCACATTTTTAAGAGTTACACTTCCTGTAGTTCTGTTG